CAATGATAAGTATTCATAAAAAAAATCAAATAAAGCAAAAGCTCCGTTGCAATTATAACAGTGTAGATCTAAGCTCCAGTTTAAAGACTCCGCTGAGAAGTGGTTTACTCCGGTGTAAATAACATCTCCAAAGCCAGGCCTGTGTTCTCTTCTGTTGCCTTCTGTCCCTCCTGCATTCTGCACCTTCATTAAGGTTCCACTATTCCTGCACAAGGACTCAAAGCACAAACGCAGGAATCATCCTTGACTCCTCTCCCATCAAATTACTTCCACCTCCAACTGTTATGACAAGGATGCCACCTTCCCACTCATTCTACCCATTAGGCTCCCACCATTTTGGGCTTAGATTAGCACAACTGTTCCTAGCTGTCTCTACTTCCTTTCTCAAATTTGGATTTGATCACATGACTTCTCTGCTTGGAACTCCCAGTGACTTCTTGTTACTTTTAGGCTTATATCCAAACTTTCAAGTATGGTAAAACACTGAGATGCCTGCCTACTTACCCTAAATTCTTACATTCTTATTTTTCTGCTCAGTAAGCATTTGTTCCAAGCTCATTCCTATAATTTCTACCAGTGACTCAAAAGTCAGCTAAAAGTAACACAGTGACATGAGAAAAGCCTATTTGCACTCTGTACCACTCCTATAAAGTTGGGTGAATTATCCCTTCTGCTGGGAGCTGTCTTGTGCATCTGAGAAACTGATAACATCACATTTTTTGTTTTATTCTACTGTACAATCTCAGGGCAAGGACTATACTGTCAATCATGCAGTGTTATTGGCACTGTCAGTGCCAAGTTATATCACAGCAGTTGTTCTATATATATATATGTGTGTGTGTGTATATATATACACACTTCTTGAATAAGTGAATGAATAATAACAATGTGCTTTAGGCACTTGATAACCATTAGTTCTAGTATGGCTTGGATCTAGATGTTCTCCCAAGACCTCATGCACTCATAGATGGGGCTTGGGGAACCATGGATGTGTAATACTGAATTATGGATGAAATAAATGGGTTAATCCATGGCTTGGTTTAGCATAGCTCTAGGTGTGGACAATGGAAAGGCTCATCCTGGGTGTGGACAGCATTAACCAACAGGCTTGTGGCCTGAATACAATTAAAAAAAGAAAGGAACGCTTGCTGCCTCCTGTCTACCATGCCATGAACTAGTTTTTCAGTGCTGCTCTGCTTGGAGCCAACTAACTGTGGACTGAAACCTCTGTAAATATGAGCTAAAATAAACCATTCCTCTTTGTACTTGTGGGTGTCGTGTATTTTGTCCAAGCAACAAGAAAGTAGCAAACAGAAGCTCCTATACGCATGAAGTCAGTTTCTTCCACTGACTAAGATCTCCAATGCTGCCAGCCTAAAGCTAGTGTTTGACATGAATGGTCAGTGTTTAAAAATGCTGGGTGAGAGGAAGGCTTGAGTGAGAGTTCTGGATTGATGCGGCAGAAGGAAACAATAACTTCTGCTGATCATTCTAGAACTGCAGTGTTATCTCCAATTTCAGAGCCAGAATCACCCAGGAACCATGACGCTCAGATGCTGCTCTTCCAAATAATAATAAAATATAAAAAATATAAAAGAAACTTTTTAGTTGTTCTTTACTGGCATGATAAGACAGAAAAAAATAGCTAGTAAACCCACCTAGTCATATAGCAGTAAGTACTACTGGGCAGAAAAATATAAATGATTTTTTCATAAATCACTCAATTGTAGGGGAATGGAAAAAAGAATGAATTTACATTATGTACAGCTACAAATTCTCTATGATGATTGTGATCATTATGTATATCTAAAATATACCTTTCGAAATTTTGCTATGTATATATATGTATGCTATCATACTGCTAGAAATGCACAGGATCACTTAAAGTAAAAATATAAATTTGAAGAGAAAGATGACAATTTATCACAAGGAGTAATGATTCTGAAAAGTAATTTTTTTTTCTTTTTTGGTACTGAGGACTGAATTCACAACTTTGTGCCTGCCAGGCAGGCAGTATGCCACTGAGCTAAATCCCCAGCCCTCCGAAAGTAATTTTAAAAATCATGTATTTCAAAATTGTTAACCTTTAATATCAGAATGATCAATTGTTAGGACTGACCTACATTTTCACCAAAAAACTACTCATAGGGCATTTATAAATATAAAAGAAAGATGCAGAATTTAAACTATGGGACAGCTTACTTTTCTACCAAAAATCATAAAGTAATCTTCTAGAATCCTAAGTAATGAACTCATGTAGATTAAGATTCCAAAGAATATGATGTGTATCAGTTTTATCACACCAAAACAACTCTCAAAACTCATCAGTTTCTGAGCCTTCATTTACTGAAAATTATATTGATATCAGCAGTAAAGACAGTGAATTATGAAACCAGAATGCAAGGATCAACCCCACTTGCACTTTCCACTCTGTAACTTTGGGAGACTTAGTTTTCCTTGCTATACTTCATTGTTCTCATCTGTAAAATGGATAATAGAATGCCTACCTCTTGGATTACTGGAACTATTAAACATTAACCCATGGAATATGTTTAAATACTCGTTGGTCTTTACTATCTCCTACTGTGTGGCTGGTTACAATGGTGATAATGCCCTTTTAAGATTAGCATTAGTATTATTATGAACTTTAGAGTAAAATGCTATAATCTACTTTTTAAATGATCAAGGAAAACAAATTAATCAACTTGGCATCAAGGGCCAGAAAAAAATGACCTAACATCTAGCAATTTTTGGTGGGGAGTGAGAGTGGAGGAGGGTACCACAAATTAAATTTAGCACTTTGGCTTGCCAGGCAGGCACTGTGCTACTGAGCTATATTCCCAGCCCCAAATCAAGTGTTTTATAGAAGTCCTCAACTGTTTTCTACGGAATGAAAAAATTTTAATGACTGAAAAGAAGTGAAGAGACAGTTTCAACAGTGGGTTTCCTGAAGTCTGATACATAAATACTGAGCAGTCAACTGACTGCACAAAACATCACTAACATACATCTAAATATATTATTTTGCATTATAGTAAAACTATAATATGAAGCAATACTAACAATAAGAGTAAAACAGAAATAAGTAAGCCAACTGCAATGGTTAATTAAAATGACTATTGTTGACTATCCGCCTTATATTCTCTTCTGGTAATGTCAAACTACAACTGTGCAGAAGCTCAGACAAGTTTCTGCAGCACCATATTATGGGTTACAACTTCCTGATCAGAACTTTCAGAATTTAGCTTCCCTTGACCTACCTCATTGATCAGATTAACTAATTATTAAACAATAATACCCATGGTCACCATTTCCCAGGAGTTTAGAATATGTCGGTGTTATGCACATTAATCAAACATTCATGTTTACATACTTTCATTGTGGTCATCTCACTCCAATACTCTAACCATTTGGTGCTTTAATTTTATAGCCAAGGATCACCAAGTCAGTTTTCAAAACATTAAAGTAATAGTATAGCCATTTATGGTTTAAAAATATTATCTCTCTAAGCTTTGGGCAGTAGAAATATTGTAGGTTTATCCAACACATGTTTATTGCTAATTGAAAAAAATATGCATCATCTCTCATATCTTTACAACAGTTAGATCAATATTCAAAATATCAACTATAACTAGAAAATGATTAATCCTATACAAATTAATTCCTAGAAATACTTAAAATAATTTTCTTTAAAGGAATAGCATAGTATTCAAAATACTAATTCTGTAACTTTTTCTACCTCTCCCACACAGAAACAGCGTACTCTGTCAAGCATAACTACAACAAACAAAAATCAGTGATAGAGTGGGCATACCATCAACTTTATCTGCCATGCCCATCTTTTCTACAAGCAAAAGATGTTATTGCCCACCTATCATGTAAATTTGTAATGAATTTATTTTCCTATTCATATTGTAATACCAACAATTCAGGTCTCAATCTATTATTTGTTTCTGTAAATTATTACAAATGTATAAAGTATGACAAGTATCAAAATCTAAACAGTCCATTCATAAAACAAGCAAAGACAACCAAAATATAACTAAAACTATTCTATTGTTTTATTCTTTGTTTTTTTTTAATCTGGAAATTTAGTGTTCAACTAATTTTACCAAATAATTATTTCTGCCAAAATCAATAATGGTAATGTCCATCATTGCTATAAAATTCACAATAAGCATAATGTGAAAAATGAGTAAAAACTGTACTCTTATATGACATAAAAAGAAAAAATAAAACTAAAACAGAATGAGAAGAAATACACTTGAGGGAAAGATATGATATAAAAAAATCTTTTAGTAGAGCCTTCTTTCCCTCTGTAAGAAGAGGAATTTATGTGCCAGTTCCTGATCACAAGTATAGTCAATGTTTCTGAAACGTACTTGTAAGTACCAGTCTTGGTGGAAGGGCTGTTGTTCCTATTCCTTAAACTCATTAACCACAAGAGGAAGAGAAGGGGAAGAGTACAGAAATGGGGTTCACATAGCGGGCTGAAAGAAAAGACCATCGGGTACTAACAAGCCCTAGGCAGAATGGGTTATCACAGGCATTGGCATGCCTTCAAGGAGGACAGGGATAGAGGAAAGAAATAAGCAGTTACAAACAACACAGAATTCAGCTTCTACCAGAGGCAATTCTGACTCCATGTCTGCACTGAATGGTCTGACAATTAAATAATAAATAAATAACCAAACAATGATGAAAAAAAAAATCCAAAACGTAATTTGTACTAGTCCTCCCATTTGTAACGGCAAAATCACATGGTACTTTGATTGTTATTCCAGTTTCAGCATAACACATAAGTACTAGACTGAATCAGGTATATGTTTTCCATTATTTTGTTTCAGTTGATCAGAATTTTTAAATTTGGGTACTATCAGTCTTTTTCTCTCAGGATTTTTAACCTTCACAGATTTATTTCATAATGTTGGTGTTAATATCAATAGCATTTTTAAATTGAGCAAAAAAGGTAATTGAATAGATCTACTGAAATTCCATACCTGGTGGTACTTTCTGGTGTTCTTCCATAGGGGGAACGCTTACTTCTAAAATAAAAAAGTCACAATCCATTAAATGTCACTAACCAGAATTTAAAATGTATATTAGCAATATTGTATTAGTTATGATAATTATTTTTACATGTTTTAAAATATTCAATTGAATGATCATGAAAACATTATGCTTTCACAGCATCCCAACAAATAAAAAAATCAGCTACAAGTGAGTAAAATACTGTAAATTTCTCAACTGTTTTGCACAACAGTTTTTACCAAATCTTTTTAACTAACTTCAAAATTCTGTTGCCTGGCTCATGAGATATGAACAAAAACCTAGGTTTTTGTACCACACTAAATAAATAAATTGAGGAAACAAACTAACACATCTTGTTTCATCGTTAAACTTTTTATTGAAACGTTTTTGTGGAAGGGAGCTGTTGGGAGTGCAGCGGATCAAACCTAGGACCTTGTACACACAAATAAGCACACACTTTACCATGAGCTATAGCCCAGAAACAATTCTTGAAAAGTTTCTGGCTCATAACCCTATTTTACTATCAATTAGACAACATAAGTAAATTAATTTGAAGTCGAATCTTAAAAATCAAGTATTATTCTCAATGTCTTTGAAAAAAAATTCTCAAGCTAAACTTTTTTTTTTTCTTGTACTAGAGATTGAACTCATTCCCGGCACACTCACATGCTGTACTACTGAGCTAGTTACACTTCCAACCCCCAAAACACATTCTAAGGTCAGTCAATGAAGGGGATGTGAATTTTTACTATCTTGCTTTTTTTCTTGGCTGCCTCAACCCAGTTACAACTAGAGACTGCAAGCATCGCCACCCAGTGTTACGAAGATAAATTTTTTGATTTGATTTATAAAATTATGTCACCGTCAGCTTTCCTTTTGCTCCTTACACCAGTTATAATATGCTTTTCTCAAAAGTAGATATTTTAATATTTTCTAAAACTCAAAATATTTATGCAGCTATTTTAATTATTTTTTCTTCTTGCCTCAATTTGCTAATCATAAAAATGATGCACACTCAAAATAGAATATTTGGAAATATTTTACATAAGAGGAAACTGAAAAGAGTAACCAAACATATTTCTACTAACAACTGCTAATATATTACGTGTCCTGTTACTGTTATATTAAGAAAATTATTATTCCAAGTTAAATTTTCATCTAATTTTATTTTGAAAAACATATATCATAAAAACTTCTCTAGGATTTTTGAAATATGATTTATTTTTATATGATTTTAAACATGAAATAGCAAATTGGTTATATCAGCACAACCTGAAAGCATTACCTATTTAATAAATGTAGCCTGCTTCTTCTTATCCTAGGTCTTTCTGAATCCTCTTCATTTAGTAAGGTTTTCTCTCTTACCAATTATTCCAGTGGCTTCTGGGAAGACCAACAACATTCTCAATGTTGCCAAATATGATGGAAAATTTCCATTCTTGGGACTCATGGGTCACTCACCTATAAGCAGTGTGTTCCATCTTTTCCTTTTGACATATTTTCCTCCTGACTCACTGGCTGTTTATGCTCCATTCAACTATATATTGTTGGAGATCCTTAGCAACATTAGTCCTGGGACAGTCTCTATACTTTCTTAGGTCCTTGCTTCCAAAGCAACCTTAATGGTTTCAGTGGATTTATCATCACCTCAGGATGATAGAATGGAAACATTCATAACTATCTCAGATTTTGCTCAGTGAGTTGATAGTGGTATATCTAAATCCATACTTAATATCTCCACTTGGTTATCTCATATAATTGTCAAATTTAAAGAGTTTATTGTGGATCTTTTGATTTTGTCTCCTAAAATAGTTTTTGGGTTTTTTTTTTTTTTTTTGGTCTTTTTTGAGATAGAGCCTCACTATTTGATTCACGTAGGCCTTTTGGCTCACTGTACAGCCCAGGCTGGTCTCAAATTTGCAATGATCTGCCTCCCTCAGCCTCTGAGTGCTGGGATTACAGGAGTGTGCCACCATACCTGGCTAAAATAGCTTCTTCTATATTCTAGTTTTCTTCTTCTCAATAAATACCTACATTATCCGGGAACTAACAACCCTTATATTCCCTCTCTTTGCTTCACAATTATAGATTGTAAAATATATCTAAACAATTCAATAATAGAGCTGTGAAATATACCTAAACAGAATTCAGTAATAGAGCTCTTGAGAAGCATGTGCAAGGCTCTGGGTTTGAAGAAAAAGAAAAAAAAGCCACATATAACAAATTCAACACTCTCCCTTGCATTCCCAACTAACAGTCTCACTGTGGGACCATGCAGTCAGTCCCCTAACAAAGTGGTTTCTGCATCCATTCTTGTTCTATTCAATCAAGTAATTCTTCAAAACGTAAGTCAGATTATCTCTATAAGTATTTCCATAAATTTTTATATCATTTAGAATATAATCCAAATTCCTTTGAAGGCCCTAACTAATCTGCCCCTCTTAGTAATTCAAGCCATATTAAGCTTTGTTTCCTATTATGTGCAACTGAAAATAGCCTTTCTGACACAGATGTATACCAGTGACTTAAATATAGGACTGATATTATGACATATGGATTTTTGCACAGATCATCCTAACAGTAGGTGAAAGATGAATGTGAAAGGTGCAAGAAGCTAAAAGGCTACAGCCATTATCTAGCAAGATGAGGGTCAAAATAGACTACTAAGAGCTATAAAGAAAAACATGGATTGGAGAAGCATTAAAAAGAAGTATATTACAGGACTTGGGTTCAACTAGAGACAGTGGGAGAACAGAACTCAATAATGTATCCCATGTTTCTGATTTACAAATCCAAAGATGTACAGATAAAACCTGCTAAGGCAATTAATTGAAGATCAGCAAATCAGGTACTGAAAAGCCCATCAAAGAGGCTACATACAAGAAGGCTGCAGGTACATGGCTCAGAGCCCCACAGTGTATCAGAGAGAATTCCCTTAGTGGTCTATCAAGCCTCTCAAAACTCCTGAAAATTTCAAGGGAAAAAAATCTGTATGTAATCCAGTAAAGGTGAGATCAAATTGTATATGATGATGTTGGCTGTTTTATGTAAAACAATGGTAGGGGATATTAGATTAAGTTCTTCCTGTGGATTTAGGTTTCTATTTTCTGATTCTCACTGTATAAAAATACAGACATGGTGTTATTCTCTAGAAAATTAATATTGCTTATAGATAGGTGAATAATGGGAAATGGGAGAAAATCTCAACTCAAACCATCCTAGTTATGTAGCAATAAATCCTACTGCAAACAGGGAGCCCATACGGGGGTCTCTCCCACAGGTAAGTTGATAAAGAAGGCAAACTTAAGTCTCCCCCTTTCTCTATATCTATCTTTCACCATTTCTAAAACTATACCATTATTCAGTCTGCAAAACAAAGTTCAAAAGCAGTTAACATTTATCTGGAAACATAGCTAGGTGCTGTGGTGCATAAAAAAACACACACATTAAAAAAAAAAAAGGTGTTTAACCTGAAAACTAACAACTAGCTGCTCAACACTGAATGCTAGAAGTTATTTTATGAGCAAAGTTCTTCCCTGTCTTACGCTTTGGGTGGCAGCCCACTATTGTGAAAGCACACAGCTTACATCACGTGAACTTCCAAATCCAGGTCTCAGCCACTGCACCCACCCTGCCTGACTTACCACAGTTTCAGCCTATCATTTGCAAACTAGTACAAGGATTTTTCTCTAGTCTCTTCCTTCAGGTCTACTGCAAGGAGCAACTAAAATAATGTGTGAATTTGTAGCTTTTAAGAATTAGAGAAACAAGTTAAATGAAGTGTCACTACTTAATACAGTATATACAACCATTTATTTTTCAGAAACAATTACCTCATTTCCCAAAAAAGGGGAACCCATCCTCCAAGTAATAACAACATAAAAGACCCCACTTTCAAGCCATCACTGCCGATAGCTACCCTTTCTCACCAGACCACTTTCTCTAAACTGATCTTGTACTTATTCAGGGCAACCATCTATATTCTAATCAATTATTTTCACAGTATATTGTTTTTATCACCATCCTTATACTTCTTATAATCTTTAATTACTTTATTCATCTGTTTGGTCATTAGAATACTAGCCCCAATGGAAAGAGGGATTCTAGTTCATTCCCTTATACTCCTATCTCCCAAGAGAACACTATACATAAGAAGTAGGAAGTGTTTGATATATATTTGTTGAATAAATAAACATATCTTTAATATGAAAAGTAAAAAAAAGTAAAACCATTTCTATAAAATGAACTTACCTTCTAAAATCATGTTTGTATCTTCTATAGCATTATCTAAAAACAAATAAAAACATATTAACTCAGTTCCACTCAGATCCCTTGATCAACTAATATCCACACAGATACATAAACATTGCTTGTTTTTAGATTTGGTCTTCTTATGGATGGATTCAACAGATACCTATACCAATTTTAATTTCTAAATTATAATCAAAGAGTGCATCATGTATTGTCCCTCATGAAACAGGACTTTTACTATAAATATGAAATAAACATAATAATTAATTTATTTGCAGGTTCTATACAGCATTCAACTCTCCAAAAAACTTAAATATTTGGGGAAAAACTGCATCTGTACTGAAAATGTAGACATTTTGTCATTATTCCCTAAACAATACAATATAATAACTATTGTCAATGGCATTTAAATTGCATTAGCAAAACAATATAGACATGATTTAAAGTACATAGGAGGTATGCATAGGCTAAAAAAAAATACTACACCATTTTATATAAGGAACTTCAACATCCTCAGATTTTGATGTCTGTAGGACATGCTGGAATCAATCCCACTGCAGATGATACAGACAACTATATTGACAATAAACAGTCAATGTTTTATATTTCTTATTTTGTCTATTATTTTACTCATGTTATAAAAGTTCTAATATATGAAGGGCTGATTTGTAGGGAATATCTGTTTACAGAAAAACAAAAACAATGCACCTGAAGTTTCTATCAGTTTATTTTCTGAAGCTTCATACTAAAAAGCAAACAGAAAAAATAAGCCTTTAGCACTGCATAACTTTCATAATAACAATAACTGAAAAAATTCATTCCAGGTGTCAGCCTGTGTCTTATTTATAAATACCTGAATGTATGGTGTTTGTCACTGTAAAACACAGACTACAGAATAGGGCAGAGAAAAGTCTGATTAACTCAGTGAAATTCAAATAAGTCACTGGGTTCAAATTCCAAATAAGCCACTGTTTGGCCAGAGGAGATGGCAAAATCATATGCTTTTTTCTATATGGTGAGGAAAACACAAGCTCCTCCACCAATCAAAGTATTCAATAAATTCCCAAGTGGCACCAAATATCCTTTTTAAATGTTCTTTATGTTTTTGGTTGAGGTTTTGGGTTAACTAAAGTTTGACCTTCCTAATTACCTGAATCTCAGTTTTTAACCAGTAAATTCCCTACTCTGTTGAGGGAACAATTCAATATTCAACTTGGAGGCAAATACCCACCACTGTTAGCCTCTGGGAAGGAGTTGGCAGGCTCTGAATTCACCATGGTAACCAGGGCCTGATGCCCAGCCCTGCTCTTTGGTTAGCAAAGAGCTTGGCACAGCTATGCTCCAGTAAAAGGAGGTGCTCTGCCTGCTCCAAAACCAGATCCTCTTTGCATACTCTCCCCCATGTCTAGGACCAGCAGCTTCCTGAGCAACTGATATTCTAGAAGGCCTATTTTCTCATACATTAAAGGCATACATTATTTTCTCCAAATATTAATAACTTTATTATTTTTATGTATTTAGTAAAGAAGCCTTTCTGAGCACCTATTTTTAGATATTCTCAGAATTGGAGCTAAATCACTTTATCTTTTTTGATATCACTGGAAAGTGGAGAGGCAAGGAGTGTGTGTCTACACCCTTACCCTAACCAGAATCAGTATTTAAATACAGACCTCAAATGTACAACCAGCCCAGTGTTAGGCCCTTTTCCCTTTACGCTTCTCTCATTTTACAGTTCAATTTCTTCCAAGGGTCACTGACATTTTACTTTGACGGTTCCTCGCCTCACTTCCCTCCCCTAGTCATTACCATCTGGCTTCCACCCAGTGTATGTCTATGAGAGGACTCTTGCTGGGCAGACCAGGGAGCACTTCATTAAATTTGATGTATGCTTTCCAGGTTTGCCTTGTTGGATCTCTTAGCAACATATCCTCTTTCAAACAAGCTTCCACTAGTCAGTCTTTCATCTCTCATTCTCAATCTTTTCTATCATCCCATACTTTTTTTTAGCAGGTGTTATGTAAGAGCTTCTGCTGCAGTACCTCACCCTAGCCTCCTCTGTCCCTTCCAGGATCCCATAGCTTGGTTTAAATGACTCTTAAACCATGAGTTGCACTTCTGAGAGAGACAGATCGTCAAACCTCCTCTTAGATGTCTCACAGCAACTTCATTATCAACAGGGATGGAACTGCACTCCAGTCCCTCTTCCTGTCTTCCAGTGAAAAAGTGCTACCAGGCAACAAGCTAAAAGAGAAGACAGTTCTGCGACCATGCTCTCTTTCTTTAGCTACCTCATATATCAAATTCCGTCAGACATACCTTCTATGCATTTCTCAGCTTTCACCATTCCCCTGCACTTTTGCTGCCACCACTGTTTTAAACTACCATCACTGCTGTCTAGTCTGCCCCTGAAATAATTCTTGCCCAGGTTACCAGGAGGCCATTGTGTGGTACTGGACCACAGTCATGCTTTCAGTGCTTTTTACACATGGCTCAAAGTAGCCCATGATCCAAATTAACATTGCCTTTATGAAATCTGGGCCCTTTAGCTTCTCACTTAGTACAGATCGGATCTGGATGACATCAATTATCTATCTCTTCGAATCTATTCTTAACTCTCTGTCTAGTTCTATGTCTGAACTCTCAGTATTTTCTAAATGTAGATCTGATTTTGCAATGCCCCTCTGTGGCACGATAAGGTCAAAATGATCTCCTCGACCTTGCCTACAGGCATCCCCTGGACCTGGATAACCTGGCCTCCATGGCTGCACCTCTCTTCTCATTCTCATTTGTTCATATCAGAGACTTCCCAGGACTCGAGCCCCCTTTCATCTCACTGTTCCAGCTGCTTCATCTTCAGATGTCTCATCCAGAGACCAGTTAATGTCTCTTTATTCTAAGATGTTTGTTACAGACTATGCGGATGCTCACTAGCATTTGCTGCATCTATGATAGAACCCTACCCAGAAATTCTTTATTATTTTCTATCTTCTTGCTGAAATATGAAGTCCAAAAGAACAAAGACCATGTGCTTCCTCACTAGAGCTATTGTGGCATTCTAGATAAGGGATACAAGATAACAAATATATAGTATATGAACAAAAAATCATTTGGACAGCTAAAATTGCAAATTCACTTTCTAGGTTTGAAGTTTTCCAGCATATTTGTGATGTGAGAAGCTAGTATCTATTAACAGTTCTATCAAATCATGATGTGGGAAATGGAAAGTTTAATGCAGAAGACTGGATATTTCTCTTTCCCACTGAACTACACTTTTGCTTCACTTTCACTTAACTTCAATTACATGCCAGCTACTTAGTTTTCAGAATTTGGTCCCTCAATTTTCACAAAAGTATCTTTTAATATAGTGAAAAATCTTCTGTTTTATTGTGATCAATTGTGTTTGAAAAAGCTTACATTCCATATCGATGACTCAAATCATCCTCCCAAATCTTAATGCCCCTTTTGATCATACTCATTACCTTTTTATTAACATTTTAAATTGTATTTACTGTGATATTCTATGAAAATATATGTATTTTACATCTTCTTTAGTATATTAATTTTGCATTTTCTAACAAGTTTGATTTTAAATTCCTCTAGATCTAGCCTATAAAATATATTTCAAACATACTGTATTTTTGAAAAACAGGACAAAGATAGGGAGAAATAAAAAAAAGTATCTCTCCAGGTATAGTAGCACATACTTGTTATTCCAGCACTTGGGAGGCTGAATCAGGAGGATCATTATGACTTTGTGACCAGCCTGGACTACAAGGTAAACATAGGGCCGGCCCAAACTGCATAGCGAGATGCTGTCTCAAATAGACAAACAAACAAACAAGAAAATCCAAATCCTACTTCTACATACAACTTTCATTTCTAAACTTCTAATTTCTCCTCCAAATTCAAGACTAGAAAAAAAATTTAGAGCCAATCTCACTGGCCAACTTCTTTAATTTGTTATCAAAAGGATATATACCTGAAGATGATCCAAAATTCTTTAGATTTGTACTCCTTTAGCCACTATGAATCTTGATAGTGCCTTAAGTCTTAAACATTTACTTAAAAATTAACACATCAAGTCTACACACAGGGACTTCTAACTTACTTCAACTGTGATTCACTAGCTAACATGAAACCACAAACTCTTTCGAGTCCTGAAGCATCCAGAACACAGAAAGAGCTCTCTGTATTCTGACCATGATGAATTTCTTTATCCTTTTGGTTTCACACACCAAGTTATATTCAGTTGACCTCTCTTTTTTGACACCATAAATTTTACATATACTAGAAGTAAAAAAGATACACATTGGCTTTATCATTTCTTAGTTACACAAATAAGCAAATTATTTCTCTCATCTTAGAGGCAGGAAAAATGTAATCTATTTCATAGAGTTCAATAAAATAGTACATGAAATTCTTGGAAGATGAGAGGTAGAACAAATGCTTAAATCTGAATAGGATGCTAGCCATTCCAAAACTTTGACAGAACTATTTCTTCCAGCCTGCTGTTAAGCCTGAAACTGAATTTTTCCTAACCGTTCCTAATATGACAAATCAGTCACCTAAGAGAAGAGGATCAATTTATAGAAGCAATTAGACTAAAGTATATGTTCATGAATATTTTAAAAGAGAGATGCCTGGAAAATAATGAGTTTTTTTAAACAATTTGTAATTGCCCCTAAGACAACTTGTGAAAAGTTTAAGAAATTATTCAGACAAGGGCAGAACCACTAGTATAGTTAAACAACCTCCCCCAGTGAATTCTCTGCAAACCATCATCATTTGGATGTTTTAATTTATGGTATTTATAGCTTAAAACATAATCCTCCGTAGTTTATAGTTGACAAATATAATTACATTTTTAAACAACACATAGTTCAAATTTAAGAAGCATTTCCAAACCTTGTTCATCATAGTCTTGGTATGTTACAGCATCTGTGAAGGAAGGAAGGAAACAGAAGCAAAGTAAGAATGTCATTTTAAAAAAAAAAAAACAGCTCTAAAAAGTCTTTTGCAACACAGATTTCTTTTCTTTTAATTATTAATGATTGTACTTACAGTACTATTTTCCCTAAAAAGAAAGCATAAGGAAATGATATTCATAGAATTCCTCAGAGCAAGATATAGCATTAAGATTTACCATCCTGTTGTGGTGTTGGCAGATGAGGTGAAATATGAATGTCCCATACAGTGAACCCTCAACTTACAACTGGTCTCGTATAAGAACGACTTTGGTTACAACTGGAATTTTGGGTTTCACTTACAATCAAAGTCTAGAGTTATGACTCAAAAGTCAGCCATATGTGTGGCTGTAAAAAAGAACAACTATTTCTAAAATAACAATAGGTAATTTATCAACTAATGATTTCTGTCATTTTTTTGAAATTCTGTATTATTTCTACCCTTTTTTCTGTTTTGCTTTTCTCTTAAAAAAAAAAATCAGGATGCCAGAAAAGCAGATGTAAGCATATGTGTCAGTCTGAGGCCAGATGCACAATTTTGTGAATGTGATTTCAGTCAGTGTTTTATATAATTGCTATGATTATTGCTATCAAAATAGCCCCAAATATTACTCAATTATATTATAGGCATAAGATTTGTATAAGGAAGCTAGTGTTGCTAAAGTTGTTTCTCAAATTACTAAGTCGCAATCAACAGTTTTAGACAAGGGCAGAAAGACTATTACTAGTGTGAGTAAATGAAAGGCAGATGGCAGGTTGTAGCTTAGGGTTAGCTATCACTTCTGATCCATAAGCTTCAGTACAGAAGTTGCATTAGGGAGGAAGAGCTTCATTGAGAGCCATGGGAGTTCTTCAAGCATCACCACTCAGGTTTCTAATTTGTGAAAAGTTGATAGCTCACTTTAAGAAACTATACATCATGGAACAGCTTCTGACACACTTCCAGATGATCTCAGATACAGATTTAACACTTAAAGAGCTCTGGAAAGTACATTACAACAACCTTTCCTGTGTGGTGTTAACTGAGAAATCCTGGGCCAATGTCTCTCTAAGGACACTCAGATCTGCTGAAAGAAAGTGTGACCTAAAATTATACAGCAGAGAGACTGTGAAGGCTGTGTAGAGGAGTCTGAACCTTCAAATAGCCCTGTGGCTGATGAAGAGAGTGCATAGGCTTGCAGGTAGACAGTGATAAGGCTGAGGACCTGTGGAGGAACACCTAGAGGAACTGTCTAAGAGGAACTTTACCAACTTCTGGGGAAACAGCAGGGCGTGGCAGCTGAGGAGCTCTCTCAAGAGGTGTATCAACAATTAGTGCAGGGCCAGGGATTTAGCTCAGGTGCATAAGCGCCCACCTGGCAAGCATGAGGTCATGAGTTTGATCCCCAGTACAAAAAAGAAAAAAAAAAAATAGCAATGTTCTTCTGAAATGAAAAAGCCTCAAAAACTGGACAGAGCTACAAACATTTGTAGAGAAAATCCACCCAGATAGAAAAGCCAACTGTTCATTTACTTGCTAAATAACAGTGTTATGTCATACTACAGAAAAGTGTTAAAGAAAAGCCAGAAACAAGCCACCTTAGACCAGTCTTTATTTCTGAAAAGAATGAGGCTTAGTAAGCCAAATCAGGTCCTATTGAGCAACAGACTCTTTCTAGTACAAAAAGGACACCAGAGAACCAGATTCCTAAGGTTCTCATGAGAGGGCACTCTCCTTCAAAACAATAGCTACCTTCCATTTCTCCCTTCCTGGAAGTGAAAGATGTCAACTTGAATGCTGAGTACAGTATGAAACTATTGTTTCCGATAAATTAAGCACATTTTATAACTTTTGGGAGAATATACTAGGAAAACTATTGGTGTTTCTGACAAATTATGCACATTTACAACTCTCTTTTATTATGAAAAGGTTAGTTAAGGGGTGCCTTGGGAGGTGTGGAATGCATTACGGGTATTTTCATTATCCTTTATGGAAAAAACAGTCTTGATTTACAACCAACTAAAGTTAAAATCAGCACTCACAAATCAATTCAGTTCTTAACTCAAGGATTCACTGTATTCTTTTAGTATTAATTTTGCTACCAAAAAATCTTGTTAAAATCACTTGTTGATTTCTCTGAAAGAAAAGCCATGTAAACAGAGTGCTACAACTAAAAAACCTCAAGTAACATTTGAAATTCAATGAAAGTGTTTCCTTGAAGCTAGGTGTGGTGGCACACACCTGTAATCCTAGCACTTGGGAAGCTGAGGCACAAGATCATGGCAAGTTTGAGACCAGCCTGAGCTACAAAGTAAACTCAAGGCCAGCCTGAACTACATAGCAAGACCTTGTCTCAAAAAGACAAAAAAAAAAAAAAAAAAAAAAAAAAAGGAAGGAACAAAGAAAGTGTTTACTCAATACCTGCTTCTTGGTACAATCTTTCATGATCGACTAGTGGTTCACTGGAATCTAAAATGAAAAAATATTCACATTTGTCAACATGAAAAACTAAACAACTACAATTCTCAGACTCTATTCTAAAAGATTCCCTGTCAAATTCTCCCCTATAACATCTTATAAGACACACACTATTATCATTTAATAAAATTTAAACTGAGCAATGTTTAGAATTTGTTAAGTTGCAAAGATGGAAAAAAGCAGACCTAGGATTATCATCCAGTCCAAGTCTACTATACTACAATGTCTCTTTAATGTCTGTTTTTAAAGACCAAAATTCAAATGGTGGCCAGAAAAATACATTTCCTTTTCTCTACATTTCCTCATGTAACATTAAACTACATTCAGAAATTTCTATAAATATCTACAGAATAAAAAATTATTAAAAATGTTATGAACAGACCCTGAAATTGAAATGGCCTTGACTAATGTCTGAAACAGAAATACAAATAATTTATTTTTACACTGACAAACCTGAGTTTTCTTGGTTGTATATTATCTCTTCCACATCCTGATCATGGTCTTGTAAAACTGTAAATTAGGAAATAATTAGAAAATGTAAAATATATCTCAAGTGAGGGTTGTACAACATTAGAAAGTAGCAAATCCACAATTCCTGGTAATGATAGGAATGTAAAATCAAAACTCGGTGACAATAAATCATGTTTATTCATGGAACCAGTATATGCTAGCCACACGTAATGTAAACACAAAGATGAATTAGATAATTCTTGTCATAAACATATATAATCTAACTACAAAATAGTAGAGCTGTATTTTCAATCAGCATAATAGATTCAAGTACAGTCAGCAAATACAAAGAAAAACAAAAAGCCAAAGACAGCTACACAGAAAAATCCTCCTCTTACCATACAAAAGTACCTGCCACAATGAAGTTTGGGCAAGCACACACTTGGCCCACACCTTGTCTTAATGCCTAAATCCTCTGTATGGCACTTCTCCCAGACTAGAACACAGTTCCAGTATTTATAGACGCACAGTGTTAAAGCATTCAGGCTCTAAACGCCAGTCAACAATACTCAAAGGTGCTCAAACACCACTGAAAGGTCATGTGTCTATCTCCTTCTAGGCATATGACACATGACAAAACACAATTTTGACCATTTATTGATTTTTTAATTTATGTGTAAAATGCATGCAATTTCGTTGCACCTTTGACCTAATAATCCTACTACCAAGAATTTATCCACAGAAAATACACTTCGAAACAAAAACTACATTCACACAGATGCACTTATATAAAAATATATATTATCAAATATGTATCATATGTGACATTAATTTAAAAATATTAATAGTTAAGAAAATTGTAAACTGATCATAATGCTCTGTTAAAGGAAAAGGATTCACTTTAATTAAAAAAGAATAATATTAATGTCTCACCTGTCTCTTCCATATGATAACTATTCTCAGTGTCTGGGAAAAAAATGGATTGATATCACTATGGTAAAGAAATGGTACATATATAATCTGCATATGCCTATTTTGAATCTACACTTATGGTATATATTAAAATCAAATAATTATTTACAAATGAAAATATCTATTAAATGTCTACTTACCATTAGAACTACATTCAACATTCTCACAAGGTTGACAAAAGCCAGTACCTGAGCTAAAGACAGTGATTTATACAGAATGACACCAAACACAAGTGCTGTACCCAAGGAAAGTGCTAACTTCTGATTCACTTCACATCCATTCTCTAGCCCTGCCCTACCAGTTTCTGGAGCAAAGTATGCTGTCTACAAATGAGGACACAAAGGAATGGGCGAAATCTCTGTAGACAACTTAACTGGCATACACCAGAAAGCAAAATGGAAACATATGAACCATGCCAAGCTTATAACCCATCTCACAGAACAGATACACACAGTGTAAATGTTTTTAGTTTCTGAAGACTTCCAACAAAATTGAAATTTCTATTTGAAACTGAATCTATGTCCTAATTGAAGATTAAGTCAGAAATAAAAGAATTATCCAGCTTATAAACTTCTTAGGAATACATTTTCTAATCGTGATCTGTAACTCTTATCCCTAAAGTTATCAAGTTCTTCATGTTTCAGACTATATGGGCATTTTAAGAGAAATTTGTTAGATAATCAGGGCATACTACAAAAATGCTTAGTGATTGTCAATCTTGCTGAGGCATCTTGGTCTAATATAGGAAAGAACAATATCAATATGGAAATAACTGTACCAGCATCCATACTCAGAAATTAGGAACATTTTTCTTACAGAAATCACAAGTGATAATATCATCATAAAGCTAAAACATGAAAGACTAATGCTGTAAAGTTAGTGTATAAACACCTAGTTTCTGTGTACAAGGCAGCTAAAGTTATGCATGTAATGTTATGTATGTAATTTTATGTATGTAATACATTCTTCAAAACATTGTTACAAAAATTACATAATATACAATTATGTATACCATCAATACTACTATAACATTAATTATATAATGCTATTTGGGTGGAATAGTACATTTGTGACTCTAAACAACAGACAGAGCACTTAGAAGTATATCCACTCAATTATATATGCCACCTGTTTCCTAACGTAATTTCCCAGTGCAGTACTAGGTATGGGGAGAGGCAGGCATACTTTACTTTTTTATTACTTTCATGCTTTAAACAAAATTCTTGGAACACATGCCAGCCAGGTATATTGTACACAACCAGATTTATAGAAAGGCAGTCAGGTTGACCCATTGAGCCATGGTAGACAGGTGCTTCTCATTATAATAGCACAAGTGACCAATGCAAAACCCTAAACATACATGATCTGGCTGTTTAGAGAAAAAGCTTGCCATGGCTAGTGGAGAAGTTAAGAATTATGTTCTATGGCGTGCAATTACAGAGTTTGTGTTAGAATGAGGGTAAATAATAGGCCGTCGTGTCAAATATTCCATCAATTTTGTGTAGCAAATGGCACCCTGAGCTAGTAAAAGTATTTTGCAGAGGTGTTTCACTCACATGAAAAATTTGTATATTCTGAGTTTGCCTTAGAAGTTCTTTGAATCAAAACTGATACTTTTATTTCAGGGAAATAGTCATTTTAATTGAAGTTAAGCTTTGACTTCAAAAACATCTTGAAATTTTAACAAATACAATTGCAACTGCTGCATTTTATCTTGAAACCAAATAAACACGTTCTACCTTCATGAACTGTTTCAGGTTCCAGGATCTCAAATCTATCATCAACATCAGATGTGATAAGGAAATCATCATCCTGCAGCTGCAGATCTCCTGCTGGCCCTTCCTCTTCTTGTTGCAAGTTTTCTCCTTCAACTACGGTAAGGAACAAAGAGACATGGGTGGACAGTAGGAGGCCAGCAGCAACTGTCAACTCTGACGTGGTACCTCTTCTGAGGACAGGCAATCTAATTTCCTCTCAAGACCACTGTGTGGTAGGCACCCTAAAGCTATTTCCAACAATAGCCTAATGCTACTCCCCTTGAAAGTGAACATGAATGCATCTCTTCCCAACAGAATGCGGACATATGCTTCCCAAGTTTTGTTCATTATATATGCTCAGCACCTAGCACCATGCCTAATCACAGAAAGTATTCAACATATACTTGATGAAATAATTCATAATTATGAATATCCATGCCTTTTCAGTTTTCACTGACTCTGATAAAAGGTCACATCAAGAATTTTTATTTAACATAAAATCACTTGTAACAACTTTTAAATAACTATTCAAGTATTCCAATACAAACAACGGCTAATTACCTATCTAAATCAGATGTGAGGTCATAGATTCACCTGCATTACCCTGTGATAATGACCACCCTAGGTTTAATCTTTAGTTGTGGAAAAATGCATATCTTATTTTCTGTGACTAGCTTCTATAGTAGACTGAATAGTTCTGCATTTGTATGAATACAGTACACTAATGTACTTAAATATGATTTAGATTGTTACTGTGCCTAAAGATGATCCTCACAGTAAATGGCATAGAAAGCCTCTTATAAATAACACTCTGAATTGAAGAGCCTGAGTGAGCTGGGCGAGGCTTTGTAATGCAGCATAGTGATAAGGAGTGTAAGGTTTGGAAGAGCTGCTCTTGCTGAAGGCTCTTTCATAGCAGCTGTGGCACCACACGCAAATTGACTACTCTGTGCCTGGCACCTCCCTTCTATAAAATGGAAATAGCAGTGACCCATTCCTGACATAGTTGTAAAGTTTAAAACATTTTGAAAAATGTCTGCACTCCTCTTAAATATTCAGATGTTTTTGTTATCACTACAGTGACAACTGTTACTATTTCTGCCACTAATGAGTTTTCTACCAATATTGTAGAAGTACTTACTTACTCTGCCTTTAGTGTGGCATATATAGTGAGGTTCTCAAGTGTACTGAATAATGTAGGCCTATTTATAAAGACATTATTTATAGAGGTTTCTCTTACCTGTGGTTTTGTGTTCTGAAGTTTTAGTTACTTATGGTCAAACACAGCATGTGAAAATAGCATGTGGAAAACTCCAAAAGTAAACAATCGATAAATTTTATATTGTGCGTTGTTCTGAGTAATATGCTGAAACACTGGAGTCACTCTTCCCTTCCTGGGACATGCATTGCCACTCTGTCTATTATATCCATATTATATATGTGATCACTTCATTAGTCACTTGGCATTTGTCTTGGCTATCATAGTATCTAGACACCGTAGTATTCATCTGCTTATGTTTAAGTACCATTATTTTACTCAGTAATGGCTCGATGTACAAGGGTAGTGACATGGCAATTTAGACGTGCTGCCAATGACAAACTAATATGCTTCCTTTAGCAAAAAGAGGAAAGTATGTGACTTCAGGGGAAAAAAAAATCCATGTATTAAGGTGGCTGAGATCTGTAAGTAAGAATAAATCTTTATAAAACTGAGAAAGAAAAAGAAAATTTTTAAAGTTTTCCAGTTGCACCTAAAACTGCAAAAGAGAAAAACTTTCCCTGGAAAAGCCCAAGGTTTTTAGCTTATACAATGCATGTGCGAAATAGCCACTAACTAAAACACAAAGACGATGTAGTAAGAGCAATTTGGGCCAGGGAAAAGGAAGAGTCAGGACATTTGTTCAACAGGGATAAGAACTGAATTGTCCATTGTACAGCTTCAGTCTGAAACACCCACAGCCTTGAAATGGAGGCATCCATTACACAGTTGGATAATACCGGGTTTTAGATGAGTCATCAGGGCTGCAGCTAAACAGTCAGCAACCAGCAGATGAATCACACTGAAAGTCAGGGACCGCTAATGTAGAGATGGAGAGTAGAGAGAAGACACAGCAGCCTTTAAGTGGGTAGGGGTGGTGGCCAACCAGAAGAGGGAGAATATTCTTGTTTGTTTTTTGGCACTAGCGGAAATCAAACTCAGAGCCATCACACTGAGCTATGTCTCTGGATGTTTAAAAAAAATTTTGAGGCAGTGTCTCAGTAAGTTATGGAGGCAGGACTCAAATCTGTGATTCTTTTCTCTCAGCGCTGGCATTACTCGTACATGACACCATGTACCTGCTGCACACTCTTGCCTCTGGGCTTTCACAGATGCTGTGCCCTTTGCTGACTACACTAGCCAGCAGAAGTTCTATATCATCTTTTAGTTTCTAAACTAATGTCATCTCCTGCTACCTCTGAAGAGACTCAAGTCTGAGTAAGCCCCACAGAGTATCACAGCTCTTTTTTTGTTTGTTTGTTTTTGTTTTTGTTTTGTTTTTTTATCGGTACCAGGGATCGAACTCACAACTAACTGCCTGCTTGCAAGGCAGGCGCTTATGCTGCTGAGCTAAATCCCCAGCCCCCCACAGCTCTTATTGCATTATGTTAGTTATTTATTTAGACTAAACCTCCAAAAATAGAAACTATAGCAAGAGGAAATCTGCACTTTCTCATATGGACAAATGTATATCTAGGCAAAGTGGTTTCCTAGCTGCAAAGAAGCTGTTAATTAAAGGACATAGGTTCCTACACCACCAGCAGCCATCAGCAACACCTAAATCAAATGCTAGGGAATTATTTTTATAACACAAGTTATTTTCCTCTTTTAGCTACCCCCAGATCACACCAAACCATTAGGAGTATCAGGATACCAAAGTGTCATATGCTTTTATCCCTTTCTGAGTTATGTTTTAGAGCATGCCCTCTGATTTTGTTAAGGAATGCTTTAAGAAAGAGATTTAGACAATTCTAAAACATTAGTTTCTGGAATAGCATTTAATATTCTTTCAACAGAACTCAATGAGAGATATTTTTTAGATCCAAGTGAGTGCTGGGGAAATACTTTTATGTTCTCTAAGGAGATAGTATGCTTTTGACCAATCTGGGAACATGACCAGTACAACTAAATTCCGTCTTTTTTTTTTTTCCCCCCTTGGCAAACAGTTGAGGATAAAGTAAAAGTTAAGGTTCAACAGTAGCTACTGGATGACTTATTGTGACTTATTGTGCTTTGTGTTCCATTTTCCTCTGCTCTGTTTTCCTCATCTAATTGTGATGAATCATTGCTTTTGATTTGCTTATATGCACGTAGTCTTATGTTCCTTTTGAGACAGCATTTTGCTACATAGCCCAAGTTGTACTTGAACTTGCAATCTTCCAGCCTCAGTCTCTCAAGCGCTGGGACTGCAGCCTGGTAACACCGTGACTGGCTTCACCATTTTATTATTAGGTATATCAATAAGTTCCTTCAGAATGATAGTTGGGTAAAATAAAGATGCTACTTCAAAAGTAATATTTTTTAGTAACTAGTTTTTTAAAACCTCAAATACCCAAATAACATTTAAATTTTAAAATAATGCCAAAGTGACTTGAGATAAACATTAGTTTAGTAACTCATGACATAATAGATTTTAACTCATACCATGTTCCGGGTGTACCATTTCATGAAGAACAGACTGAATTTGTTCCTTTACTTCATCTTCAATATTCTGGGGTTCTAAAATAATTATAAAACATTACTAAGTAGAAAATACTTAAATCTTAATGGGGAACTGTAACATTCAAATATAGCATTTGTACATAGACCTTAAGATGAGTGTATTTGGCTAAGCAACTGTGCATGTTTTTCAGTTTACTAGTTTTCCCAATGTTGATGAACATGTTGGACAATTACAATTTGTTTCATTTGGTTAGTAAATATAAATGTTAAGACTTCTATTAAGATTTTTAGGATAAAATAATTCAGATATAGATTTTTATTTAAAAAACACATGAAGGGCAAAATGACTTCAATTTTTAATTAATAAAATTTATACTAATGACAGAATGGAGAGGACAAAGCTTTCACAAAGATAAAAAAATAAAATATAAACTCACAGAGCATATGGCAGCCTGTGTTCCCAGACAGGCAGGAAAAAGGGCTCTTTCCTGTGAGGACCCCGAGCAGTGAGTACTGGTGGGCCTCTCCAGACTCAGCAGGTAAACAGATAATCTTATGTTATAACTGGTGGCCCTTTCAGCTTTGACACTCAGATCCATAGATTAAATACACGTGAGCAACAAAAATGAACATGATTGATGACACACTTACAACACTGTACTTCTTGTTAGCAAATCAGGTTTATAGAAACATTGCACAACAAACAAGAAACTACAATTACACTGATGTTGTTATTAACTTCTATCTAACAAATATGTTTGTTCAGTGAATAAAAGCACTGCTATACTGTCTCAGTATCATAAATGCTATTCTATGAAACAATGTCATTGACAACAGTTATGTCAAAGAGCTAATCTTTAATGACAAAAATCAAAATAAGTTAATTTGAACTTCAGGGAGTGAAAAAGTTCAAATAGAGTATTCCTGTGCTAATCATTTAACAATACCATTGCTGACACATGGAACTGTCATATATCTATAGATGTTTACATTTCACAAATCACACTTTACATATATTCTGGTACAATTACTGAAACGTCTGGCCTCTGTCCTTAGCTGCCACCTCTCACAATGCTATGATGGCCTCCTAAGCAGATTCTTAGGCTCACAGCTTTTCAGAGCACTAGCCAGGAAGAGCACAATATGAGCTGCTAGAAGTAGAGGGTGTTGCAGCTTCCTTGCTTAAGCCTGTAATGGCTCCCTTTGCCCCAAAGTGAGAGTGTACACTCCATGGAAAAATAACTGAAGTGCCCAACAAGTAGGCCTTCACATATATTTCCAGAATCTTGTGCTATCAGGACTGGTTTTGTTTGATTTGGTGAGTGTACAATGGCATTTCATGTTTTCATGCTATTGCCAATGATCTTCTCACTTAGATGACAAGGTTTGTAGGGACAAACACCAGATTGGATTGAGTTAAAGAATATAAATACATAAGAAGAAAGGTTACTGTGCAGTCTTCCTTCAAAACCCTGGCAACTACAGTGATGACAGGGGCTAGAGGGCATAGAGGGGTAAGGAAGGATCGAAGTGCTATGTTTTACTGTATTTTTAAGATACATGCATAACTATGTTTACAGAATAAATGGATGGAGCCAGCGAAGAAAAACAAATTAAGGACAGAATAAGAGAAAGGCTTAGAAGCAACACTGAAACCAAAACAAATATTGCCAAGAGGTTGAGAAGGATATGGGCTAAACTACCAGATTATCGGAATAGATTATCAATAATTTGCAACAGTGATATTAAATAAAAATAGAAGGCACATAATATATATGTACTGGCTTTCAAAACAAGATTTTTTAAATTATAAATTCAATTAGGACAAAGTAAAATGTGAGCCATTAAATCCAAATTTAATTATAAAACTTACAATCCTTGTTCCAAAATTACGGTATAACCATGGCAATTTCACAGAAAAGATAAAAAACAAATTCTCCAAGGATTACTATTAAAAAATAATAAACCTTAAGTCAACATTATAATCCTAGGAAATACAGAAAGAAAATCTAGTAGTATCGATCAGAAAGTATGCTTTCAATCCAGAACTGTGTAGTGTAATACTTAACACTTCCAATAGGTGGCACAGTGAGATCAAATTTTTTAGAATTTAGAAAAACTACATACACAGAAGCTTACACAATATTTTAAATGAGTAAAAAAAAAGATAGCATTTTAAAAGATAGCAATATCTAATTTACTAATTTATTAAAATAGTTTAAAATTTCCCAACCTATGTGGTCATAAACCCAAAAATGACTGCAAAAATGTGAACTGTTCTATAAATTCACCTAAATACAAAACAGGTTTCACAGCACATCCCAAGATTAGAAAGTCTTTTGGTGCCAATAAGAGGCTCTCAGATTAAAACAAATAGGAATCCATTACTTCTACTTTATTAATTTGTGGCAAATGATACCAACATCAGTGTATAATGTGTGTATATTTTTACTTTCAACATAACTTGGGGCAATAGTGCTGGAACTGGGATGAAGAGGAAAAGCATTTGGATCCTGCTGTGCCTGACTAGTGTAAACAAATGTCTACACTTAGAGCCTTTATCTCAAAGATTAAAGTTATCCAATGTGAACTCTTACTAGGAAAAATGTAGGTTTCTTTTAAAATTTTAGAAATGAAGCATCATCATTCATTTCTCTGTAAACAATGTGCAACATACTGTAGGTAAAACAAGACTCTGTACACTTCACATAAGGACACCGGCCAGGCAAAGGAGGCCCTGCTGAGCTCTAGGACAACTCACCTGTGCCCACGGGAGCATGGTCCTGCGGCTCAGAGTGCAGCTTGGCCTCCTCTGCTGGGAAATTCGGCTCTGGAGCAGCTTTTTCTTTAAGGCCTGCATTTTTTATTCATAAAGTTAACTTAAACTTTTTAGGGTATTTTTTTGACATATTAAACCAGGAAAAATTACATCCTCAACATTTCCTTAGTGCGTGTAACTCAGTTCTAACATTACCTGCTTAACAACTGAAGTAGGAAATGGTTTGCTCTGTAACTCTATATGGACCTTCAAGATTTCTATTTTATATTTAAAATAGTAAAGACAAAGTATTTAATCACTTATAAATCTTTAAAATACAATCATATCTAAACTTGCCAAAAGTTGTTCATTATGAGTTCAAACATTTTTTGTGTCCATGTGACTAATTATTTCCTAAATCTTGAGCTCTGAATTCAGAGACAATTATGATGCATTTGAATTTTGGATTGTGTGCACTCCCGTTTTTGATTTTTGTACAATTGTTCTTGAAAAACTAAAAATAGTTACACGGAGATTATTCATCTCTACTTATAACTGTCTCATGTTTGCACCAACAAATAATATAATATTATTCTATACAAGCTAAAAGATATGGAAAAAAAGTCCTTTATAAAAAAGAAATCCTAAGGAAAAGGCCTAAGAGTAATTTTATATGCCTGATTTCAAAGTTAATAGCAATCTAAAATCTATTATGTTAGCTTAGTTCGATATTTCACATGTGAAACATTAAAATGTATCAAATAACTATAACTATTTATTAAACTAAACTAGGACCAGAAGCCTGATTCTGTTGCACACAACTTGACCTTTTCTCACACCAGTGTCATCTTCTGGTAATGGCCCTGCAGGTAGCTGTGGTCTGCAGTTAAATGGGTACAGAGCAAGTGCTAAAAGGTAGTTTCCTAACATTAAACAACAGTGTACAGCTGGGGCTTAACTCCTGAGTCTTTATACTGAGTACATACTGGCTCACCCTTTTTAAACTTTTAAGACAGGATCACACTGAATTGCTCAGGCTAGGCTCAAACATGCAATCTTCCCACCTCAGAATTTTATGCACTTATATGATTATAGTCTGGAAATTTCTCATTTCAGTGTCTTGCACTCTTCTATTCTTTGTGTTTATCTTCTTTCTATTTTCCCTATTGTTCTCTTTTCTATACTGCCTCATTTTTACCTTTCTCCCAAAGTAAAAAAAAAAAAAAAAAAAAAAATCGCCAGTTCTTCCTCCCAAATCTTAAGAGACTCAGACAAGAACAAACAGAACCTACTATCCACATCACTTACATTTCCTCTTTTTACCTAACACTAAGCCATACTAGCAACACAAAAGCCAACATATACAGCTGGCATCGATATATAAATTTCACTATAAAGTAGACTACAAAAGGATCATACACAAATACAGGTTTTAACTATGGTTCAATTTATGAAAGGGAAGGGATGAACCCTCTTAAAATTCACCAATTAAATTTAAATACAGGACTGAAATTCTCTGCCTTTTCCCATTTAAACAGTCCTTTTTTATATCTCTCAACTGTGGGTAAGACAGGTTTCCAATTGTTCATTGCCAAATTCTGCTGAATGAATGGAGGAAAAGGTTGAAAATTCTCAGGATCATGTTTTATCTTTGTACTCTAAGCTCTTCAGCTAACACCTGCCATGTAACAATTACCCCAAATCACCTGCTGAGGATTAAAAGGAACCCAGTTGTGCCCACTCCCCTGAACTGGCTGCAGAGGTCCCTGAAGGCCCAGGATCCTTGGCTGCACTGGACTGGCTGGTTTGGAGGCGGGAAAGGAATTCACATCAAGTCTTCTATCGTCATCTTCTACAGATACGCATCTTTGCTCCCGCCTCCAGCAGTTCAGTATTACAGGCTTAGTTTGCTTTGTGCAGTGTCAGCTCATGTCTGTTGTCCTGGAATAATTATTTCACTTCCAAGAATTTTCCAGTCTAAATGGAAATTTACAGTGTCATCTTTCCCTAATCACACGTGCAGCATGCATTCATGATGAGTACAATAAACCATACTTTCCTATCAAACAATAAAGATTCAACTACTTGAAATTCTTCTTAGGCTTCACTTAGAAAAAGAATTATAATACTAAAGTGTTTGAGACTACTTGTACATCCATATTCTGACATACAATGCCTTTAAAAGCCAGCTTTCTTTAACTCAACTAGAAGCTATGTCTTCAAAATCGAAATGGTACAATATATGAAAAACAGAAATAAAGCACATAACACCAGAAAATATCATGCAGTTTTCTTTTACAGTCAAAGTGGTAGATGAACTGTAAACTAATACCTGATCAGACTTCCAGAGATTTTATAGAGATAGAGATAAATTCAGCAGCACAGTAATAATCATCATCATCATCATAATAAACAATATTGTAAAGTTCAGATAAGCTAAATATCATGTACCTTCTCTAGATACCTATCAACTTTTAAAACTTAACAAAACATATTATAGACTGAAATTACTTTAATAACTATATAGAATTAGCTCTACAAGCCTGTATGCTACTGTTGCCCACAATTTTTGCCACCGAAACTCCTTGTGGTTTATAAGGTTTGAGACAAAAAGCAAGCAATTAAATGAAAAACCTAAATAACACCTCTTGTTCTGCTCTATTCTTAGATCTGAGGAACTCTTTCTGAGATATTCCCAGTAGTCTTTCAGTATTAATAAAACCATGACTGTTCCTATAGTAGATCAACTCCAACTTACAATCAAACAAAAGGTTTTTAAGCTGGGTTTATTATGAAGTACACATGACAAGTACACAGCACTGAAACAAATATTCAAAACTGCATCATGAGTTTTGTCTATTTTCATGTTGCTGGGGCTGTACGTTCAACAAAACATCAACTTGCAATGACAAGATTTATTATCTACATTCTCAGCACTGGCTTCATCCTCAGGCCAGCAATCAGGTTTTTCTGGACAAGATGATGTCATATACAGAAGAACACCTCTTGCTTTGTTTCATTCATAGATTTCAGGAAAACCTTCTGAGACATTCCAGTAGCCTTTCCACTTCAATAGAACCACGATTTTTCCCATTCCTGAGCCAACACAATGTACAGAATGATCATAGATGCCTTAGGATCCTTATCTAGGGATGAATGTTGTAAGGCCACCTAGACTAAACTCCATAGTGTGATTCGGAAAATGATTAATCCCCTTCAAACACACTGTGCTTTTTATTTTTAAAGACACATTAGAAAAATTTTAAATGTTACATTTAATAACTGTGGAATTGACTCCCCAATTTTTAAGTAAAAATGCAAAAACCTATAGAAAAGTTAATGAAGTCAACACTTTAAACTCACCATTCATAGTAATCTTGATTATCCAACCCAAGTACCCTGGTCCAGTATTAACTTACTTTATTTACTACTGCCCAACACAGCTGAGCAGAATGAAAAGGAACAGATGTATTTTTTCCTATAATATTTGATTATAAATCTACTCAACTGCACATTATACTCATTCGAAGATACATATTTAGTACCAATTAATGAACAGCAGTGCTTTACATTAATGAACACACAAAACACCTACCTTGTGGAGAAGAGAGCAAATAAAAATATTTAGGGTCTGTGAGATAAGGATTGATGATGTGAAGATGTGAGTGGTGAGGGCCAGGCATAAGGGAAAGGGAGAGGGGCTGTTCACAACTTCTCAGGGAAGTCAGGGATGGGTCCAAAAAGACACTAGAAATTATCAGGTGAAAGTGACAATAAAGGACCAAACTTCATCTGGGTGCCAGCTTGGCTGGAGAAGCAAGGTGTTGATGCAGCAGGAGAGAAGTCAGTCAGTACCAGAGGGTGAGCACCAGAAAGGCCTTGAGATACTATTGAGTTGCTCTGAGGGAGCATGATAGGTTCATTTTTCCTAAGAATTATGGTCATTCCTCAGTATCCATGAGCAATACTTCTAGGACCCCGACAAACACCAAAATGCACAAGATGTACAATCCCCTACATAAAATGAGGCAGTATTTACAGATCACCTATGTACTTCCTTCCTATACTTACGTATCTGGAGATTTCTCAACACCAAACAAAATGTAGACATTATATAAGTAAACTGCATTGTTTATAGAATGATGGCAAGAAAAAGTCTGTAGAGATGCAGCAGGAAAGAAGTCAGTCAGGATATGTGTACCAGAAAAGCCCTGGGACACAGGGTCACACTGAGGTAACATGAAAAAGTACAAATGTAAATTCTTTTTCTAAATGTTCTCAACTCATGATTGCTTGAATCTGCAAATGTGCAAGCTGAGGGTGTGAAAACTGCAGATACAAAGTTGACTATAAAGTCTTCCCTCCATAAAGTCTGAGTGAATTATAAATAGTATTTTGTTTCACAAGATTTCATATACCTACCCTGTAAGTTAAAACATTTTTATAATTCAGTTAATCTTTAGTTTATTAATGCAATGGTATACTGATTGAAGAAAATTTTTGTCTTAACTTGCCCAGATTACTCCAGCTACTGTTATTTGTACTGGACCAGTATTCACAACAATGCCTGCTTCCCAGCAAGAGTATATGAAGATATATAGTAGATGAATATAAATATATAGTGAATATATGATATATGCATATATGTATATAAATATATATACTATATGAATCAATATATCAAAGGGTAACGAGTAAGTGTAACTTCAGAAATATTTTATTACCTGTGCTGCCAAATGAGGATATAACCTGAGTAATATAAGGAATTCACTGTACCAGAAAGGCACACATACTAACTGCCCATGCTAATCTTTGTTTTTGATCCCTACTTCTATAATCGATAAGTATATATCTCACTAAGTATACCAGCAGGAGCCTCGAAACTAAACAAGATTCTGAGACTATTTGGAACTTTTAAAAATTGCTCCATTACACAAAATAAGCATCTTATTCAAAGTTTCTCTATATGACCAAAGATGTACAGAAAGATTTCAGAAAAGAGACAAAATCATAGAAAAAAGTAAACAAATCACACAAGAATTAACTACTGCCCAAAAGGTTCCTAAGAACCTGGTTTCAGAAATAATAAAGGCACT